CTTGTGAATCGCCCAGAGTTCCCCCATTGGGGGGAGATGGGCAGTTGAAAAATTTAATAAACAAACAAACAAACAAACAAATAAATAAATATGAGGTTTTATGTGTTAGTGCCAATTTTTTGCATTCATTTTGTTACAATACTTAGACAGGATTGATTTTTTTTAACATTCTGTAAAATGATTATAGGAGCTGCATGCATTGTCACTCGAAAGGCATCTTCTTGATCAAATTCGCATAGTATTTCCAAAAGCTGTCTTCCCAGTGTGGGTTGAGCATCATACTTGTATCTATATCCGGATTGGTAAGTGGCTTTGCAAGACTTCATCAGAATTAGAGATAATTGTAAGGTTGGCATGGATATTAACATTTCCCCTTTTATTCTAGTTGCACTAAAACCCCCAGCTCTTTATGGAAGACTTGAACCTCGCACAGAGCTTCTTATATGTCCTAAATTACGGCAGTGTGAAGAAAGTTCCACCATGTCGTCTTCCCTGAAAAATGAGATTGTGCAGGATGGTGTCCCTGAAACTGAATTAAAACCAAGGGAAAGAACTGAGGAACCATGTGCCAAAGAAACACATTTAAATATGCAATTTCAGCAGCATAAGCCAAACACAAAGGGATCACTGAGTACAAATGTTCTGCCAAACATTTGGAATTTACTTGGGAACATTTTTTTTTATAATTCTGAAAAGAAACAGGAGCCTTTTGATGGAACTGATGAACTGAATGCTGCTAAAAGTCATCTGTTAAATTTGATTCAGATGGATTCTGTTTTCAGAGTATGTCAGAGACAGCTTCCCAGCATGAAAAATACACTGGAAACATGTACATTTCAGAAATACAACACTATCTGTGTTTCTCCATGGAATCAAACATTCCCTGTTTTAGAAGCTAATATTCAAGTTTCTTATGGGAAAATTAGTAAACTACTTTCTCCAAGACAGCAGTTTCAAGAGTTAAAATATAATCTAACATCAGAGAAACAGATGGCTAATACAGAAGACCAAAAGCAATTCACTTCTAGTAAGAGTCAAGAATCCAACGAGTTTTCTATTGTACAAATAATATGGAATGGATTTGAGGATCTAAAGGATGCCATAATGTTCAATAACAGTGTGGAGCAACTGCATGTTGGAAGAGTTTGGGTCAGTCAAATTTCTGAAGGATACAGGAAAGTCATTGCATTAGACTCATTAAGATTTTAAATCAATTTTTGATGAGTTGTTCACAGATTAACATTGCAGTGTTAAAACATTTTACCTCAAAATAAGCTGTATTAATTTCAGTACTTATTCAGAAAAAAATGTACTTATGATCAGTGCTGGGCAGCAGTCTCCAAACTACAATACTTACCATAGTTCTTTTGTCTTTAGTAAGCATTATATCCTAATCTAACTTTAAACAAAATAATTCAAATAACTCCAATTTAAAAACACTAATTTAGTTTCCTTTATTTATTTGAAATATTTATGTCCCTTCCTAAATTAAATTCTTAAAATGGATTAAAGTAGCAAAATGGAAATTGTTATTTTTTTTTAATATTCATTTGGTTTTTTAACTTAGGCAAAGTTTCCAGCTGCTAAAATAGAGTTACAAGTTAATATTATTGCCATAAGTGATGGTGAAAGATGCAACTCAAGTAATCCTTTTTTTCTTGAGAGCATTGAGAAAGCTGCTAACATTTTAACTGCAATTATAGTCTTTGAATAGCTTTGAAATCTTAAGTTGCTCTTAACTTTCACAACCTCAGTACTATACCAGTGACTATATCTTATGAAAGATGAAGGTTTTTCTATATTAGAGAAGGTTCTGTTTGTGATTTTTATTTTATATTTCAGATACCTGAAGGGTTGAGAAAGAGGCTACACATAGAAATGCATGCTGCTGTGAGAATCACATCAGTTAGTTCAGATCCTAAAATTCCAACCTCTCTTAGACTACAGCCTGAATGTACTTTAGTGAGTTTGGTCTTATTGTCTATTTACAGATTTTGAGTTTCATGTTTTAATACAACTTACTCTTAAAACATTGTTTAATATGTACAGTAGTCCTCAGGTTACAACGGTAATTAGGACCGGAATTTCCATCGCTAAGTGATGCAGTTGTAAATTGCGATGTCACATGACTGCATCGCTTAGCTATGGAAATCCCGGCAGTCCTCGTTGTCATCGTTAACCAAATCCCACTGGTTGTTGGGCAAGGACCCACCCCAATCCAAGCCATTCCTGGCTTGGTCCCTACCAGCCCCAAGCCTTGGTAAGGTAAGGGACTGCCTCCTCTTGAACTCCCCCCACCCACCTATCTTGCCCCCATCTCTGCCCTTTTGGCTGCCCTGCATAGTGGCACACCTCAACACCGGTGGTGGCACCAGTGGTGCTGGGGCTGAAGTAGAAGCCTGGGGCCTTCAGTAGTCTCAGCCGACCACCGCCACCCCAGGGCCTCTACTTCAGCCCAGCACCACTGGCCCTGCCACCACTACCAAGAAGTGCCATTCTGCAGGACAGCCAAAAGGGCAGAGACGGGGGCAAGATAGGTGGGTGAGGGGAATTCAAACGCCCCTGCGATCATAAGTGCAGGTGGGCTGCCAAGCGCCCAAATTTTGACCATGTGACCACAGGGGTGCTGCAACAGCTGTAACTTTGGGGACCGGGCATAAGTACTATTCATTCAGTGCTGCTGTAACTTTGAACAGTCACTAAAGGAATGGTCATTAAGCGAAGACTACCTGTAATTATATTTTTCTATTAATTTTTAACACATTTTTTCTCAGTTTAAACATTGTTTCATTGGTAATTATATTTTTCTACCAACCTCTGGCACAATCTCAAATTATTCAGAGATAATATCTTAATTACGAACCATCTTTTTGGTGTACTCTGACATGGAGCATGACTTAAATCTCCCTAAAAATGGTAACTTTTTAACAAATAGTTTTTTCCAAAGTTTTGTCAAATGAATATTTGGATATTATTATACGTAAGCCTAAGATTTGGTGAACAGATGTAAATGAATGGCTTGCATTCCAAAAGTGCTCCACAGGCACAGAAAGCTGCTCCTGAACGTGGCTTTCCAGCGCCTTATCAGTCGCTACCTGTTCTTTGCTGTCACCCTCCATGATCCATCTCACAAGTTGCCCACATTTTTCTAATTCTGACTAGCAGTCTCCTAGTGGGGTGAAGAGAATTATGTTGATTTTTACTTAAAAGGAACATGACAGGAATCCTGCCAGTAAAACCGTGCTCCCAAATGTTCAATTAAACAGTGTTGATCGAAAGCAGTATGTTTCATTTTGTTTACATGCTGTTATTTCATTTTTTAGACTATATTTCCCTACAATATCGAGCCATGTCCATTTGTTTAAAGTGACTAAATCAATGTCCATTTACCACATGGATCCAGTTCTTGGATCCACATTGCATTTGGTACCTGGTCAAAAACTGGAGTGTTTTGTATCCCTTAGTTTCTAAAACAAGCATTTGGAAAAGAAAAAAAAATCCTGGGAAGCTTGGATTGGTAGAGATCTTGCTCACTGTTGATAGAAACATTATGCCAATATGCCTAAAATGGTCATTTTGTATAAAAGGCATGAACCCTACCAAAGTTATATTCTTTTTTTTCCAAAATACATCATATTTTCTTAGAAGATAACAAAAATGAGGTCGTCTTGTGGATAGTGTTGTGATTATTCCCTTCAGTTAATAGATAACAAAATGAAAAAAGCTTCTCATAAAAAAAAAATTGTTAGAAGAAAATTACTGAACTAACAATCCTCATCCTTTTCCATTTTAGAATAAAGGAATCAGTGAAGAAGACATTAAACATGCATTTAATTTGTGGCTAGAGGATTACATTAGGTGTCCCTTGATAACAGCAGAAACAAGCTACATACAATTAGCTTTTAATTTTGGTAAGCAAAGTTCAGCTACAGTTGTGATTACTGCATGTTAAGTTTTTTTTTTAATATTGTACATCAATTTTAAAAGATTTAGCCAATTACGATTGGATTTCAGTTCGTTTATTTACATCTAATATATTAGATTAATAGCTAAATGTCTGCTACCATAATAGTTTTTTTAATAATAATTTTTATTAAAGTTTAAAAATACAAAGATAAAAAACTAATACAAACTAAGAAAAA